TCCCACAGAGCGGAAACTCACATAAGAACAGCCAGTGCTGACAGAAGACAGGAAGTGCAAATAGATGAGATTGCTATGAGTAGGCTGAGGAAATTGCAGCTCTCCGGCACCATGTTCCAGCACTAAAGATCTTGTCACGTGATATGATGTTATGGAATACTGCTAAAACCAAGACAGCGGGGAAGGAAAAAACAGTGGGGCTGTAATTAAGATATGTATATTGTCTCCCATTTATTTCCATGGAAACTACTGCAGATACAAAGAACATAATAGCACTTTTTGATAGAGCAGATTCTCAGCCACAAAACATTGCTTTTCAACATGGTTGCTACTATTAGCTATGCATTTTCAGCAGCAATGAACAAGAACCTGCATGCCGTGCTCATAAAAAATCTGCATGGCTGAATGGAATGTGACTTGTCCTTCATGTTGCCATTGCTTCTGCTGAAATGCATATCCCACCACCTCAGTATGCTCTTATCACTGGTCTCCAGAAATATCAATAAACATTTTTAGCCACCATGGAAGAATGCCAGTAGCTGCTATTTTTTCTGCAGGGAGAAAATCAGTGACACACCTTTGCTTCATCTGCATTTCCATGTCAGACGCCATTCTGTCAGACTGCCCCTCTGCTGCCATCTGCTACACAACAACAAAATGTAATGGAATACTGATGGGAAGGTTCAACCACCACTGTCAGCATCCACCTCTGACGCCCTGGGCCAACATAATAATATAGGAGGTATTACTTTTGGAGCAGCCCTCGTGTTTTCTAACTGTGAAAAAACCTTGGGGGCTAGATCTAGAGCTAATATTTATTTTAAATTCAGAGCTTTCATGGGAAGAAAAGGTATTTCTTCTCTTCATCAGTGATATGATTGAAGATGTGGGTAGATCCTATTTAATGATTCAAGCTCTCTATTAAGTAACTCTTGAGCCATTAGCATTGGGAAGATGGGGGAGTTGCAAGGTTATCCTTATAATCCTCCCCAAGAAAATATAACAATGATGTATGCAATGTGAGTAGCATCTTTTCAAGATGTATTGTTGTTGGAAGTGTTAGTTTCAAGCTTCACCCATGTCTGAGATTGTGATGGACAGAAGTAAAAACTTTCCAACTTATCCATGTAACCTCTTAAGTTCTCCCTTGGCCCTCAGCTCACTTTCACAGTAGAATAGCTTGAACTGCTTGACCAAAGGGATTGTGGCAACACTGATTGTCTATTCAGTTGATAGTCTATACTGGAAATATTTTTTAAATAAAAAAGATTAATTTCTTCATATTCATTTAATGATATTTAAAATACTGTCACGCTAAAGAGCAGCCCAAGAAATCTGCAAGAATGTTCCAGTCATTTTGAAGACTAATATCAGCTAAATTCTCTTGTAGATGGAATTTAGTTTGAATGTAGAAACTTCATACCAGTCTGTCCTCAGAACTTTTGTCAATTGTCTTCTCTTTATTTTAAAATAATCTTAAAAACTCAGTGCGTGTTGAACTGTAAAATTTTAGTGTTCTGTAATTTCTCACCTCTCTATTTGTCTGTGCACTAAGATTAATGAGTAATTTTTATAGTAAGAAGAAGAATTTTCCTTAAAAGTTATTTTGTATCTGAATGTTAGTTTTGAAATGTAACTGAACTCAATATTGCTGAGATGTAATGGCTTATTTCACTGTTTAAAAGGCTGTTTAAAAGGCAGCCATAACAGTGCATTCTCAGAAATCCCATCTTTGGAAATAGTACCCTATGCTTTGCCTCTGTGGTTGTTACTGGGGGAGGAAGAGTCAACTCATTGCTTCTGGGGCCTGATACAGAGGAAATGACATGTCACTGCTGCCCCCTTCTGCTCTCGGATTACTGTGTCCTCCAGGAGGATAGCACTTTAGTTTTGTTTTAGTATTGGCTTTTATTTTGGTTTCTGGTTTCCACACAGTTAACTTCCAAGGTATATTGCCTTGGAATTCCAGAGTAAACCGTTATTTGCACTCTTTATTAGCAAAGGAGGAAAAAAAGTAAATAATGAGAATGACTTACACAAAATTTCACAGGTTTTCTGCTGACATAGTTGTTTAAATTCCTTATCACCTTGTGAAACCAGGCCGTCTAAGCAGTTGTGTGCTCATTTCACTAAAAAGGCGGATTTCTCGGTTGGAAGACATAAGTTATTTTTCATGGGGGAGGACAAAAACCAAGATTTCCTTGCAAAGACCACCTTTGTTTTGAATGATATCTGAGTGAGTTTTCAACTGCTTAAATTTCTTATGTTGTAAATCATTTTGTTAAATGCTAATACAGCTTTTTTTTTTCTCTCACTCTCTTAATTCTTGCAAGGAATGAAAGAATGTTCTCAATTTTATGGCATGCAGAAGTGTGAGAAACTGTTAGGATGTAATTTAATGCACAGCTTTTGCCCAGAAAAAATTACATTCTTAATGAATGCTATCCTGTTTGCATATCCGTTAAATTATGGGATCTATTCCTTTTAGAAATGTTACTGAATTATTGCTTATATTGTGGATGTGTTTCATTTAAGCTATGATTTTGCAATTCCACAATTTTTTGTTACTACTGTCAACTTCTATTTCCAGTGCTGCTGCTCCCATAAGCAAATTGAATTGGATGAACAAATGAATCTCTGTATAATTTGTTATTTGCTTGTTTCTTTGAAACTGTTATTCTGGCTCTTGTTTTGGAGCTGTCACCCTATAGGGTGACAATTACACTCTAGAATTGCACCCTTTCTTCAAACTTTTTTTTTCCCCTCCAAGTTTATATGAGAAACAGATTTCATCTGTTCATTTTCTTGTTTATTTATTCACGATCTTCTCTCCCATGTGCAATCAGATGGCTGGAAAACACCTCCTGCTCCTACACAGGTTTTTAAAGTCATTGATTTGTTAACTAATGTTTTGATTCAGCAAATCCATCTTGTTTACTCTTCTCTGTAGTCACTTTTTAATGTAAAAGTAATTACAAATTATTTTCATACTTCCTTTCCATCTTTCTCAAAAGATCAATCTTCAGTGGCTGCAACGAGTGAAAAATTGCATGTTACCCATCTTGGGAATTCTGTGTATGTTTTACAAATCCTATTCATTGTTGTAAGTGCTAGAAGGTTATAAAGTCAAGCAGTCTGTAATGAGGAAAACCAGTTTCTAAGACTTGTTGGTGCTTATGACAATTAATCTACTCTTTGTACATGTATTATCTTAATCAGGAGAGATTATTTTTATCACTATACAGTTACTGTTGATGTGACTCACAGTGCTCAGCTTACATATTTGATGCTGGCCAGGAAAAGGTTCAGCAAGCATTGGCAAAATGCTGCATTTTGAAGGGACAAGTTTGCCAATTCACGAGACTGTTGCTATCTTTCTAGTCTTTTCACCATCACAGCATTATCTTTTTTTATTGTCCATTCATTGTAACTCATTTCACCTAAAAAATAAGAAATATCTAAGAAGTTCTACAGACAAGATGTTGAGATCTTCTTACTATAATGTTATCTTGTAAATTAAATAATTCTGAGGAAAAAAGTTATCAAGTAATACATGCTCAAAAAGGTATTAAATGATTGAATTGAGGCAACACATTGATTTGCATTTCCTACCTTTGGAATTTCTGATTTAGCAATATTTCTGTTTTTATATACACAAATATTTACATGCAATGTATGCAAAGAAAATGAGAAATGAGAGTTTGTTATTGAATGAGATCAGGATTTTACCAGGTTCATAATGCATCTAGGATGCCCCCTGTATTTTATGATTTAAAGCAGCCTTCACATGAGGAGGGTTCTGGGAGGAATTGAAGGTGGAAATGTTTCTTTTGTCAAAACAGAGTTTGTCCCTTTTGTTGCAATAGCCTCATGAGTGTGCTGCCTCTTTTATCTGATAAATAAAGTATAGGAAAGATCAAGGATTTTATTCACTGTCTAATTCCATCTATGTAGATAGATAAATTACTATAGCGATACTAACAAATGCACCTTGAGTTAGGTGTACCCCTTCCATCTCACCTTGCCAGGGGCTGATTGAGTGAGGTGCCCTGCTTGCTTCTGTGTAGCTTGCTCTTTTGCCTGAGCTCAGACTTGGTAGTGGATAGGATTGTAGTTATGCTTTATTGGCAAATGTTCTACGCATAGGCAAAAAATACTTCATGGGAATGGTTGAGGTGGATGAGCTGTCCCAAACCTTAGCTTGCAGGAGATACGCTTGTTGCAGCCTGTACTGAGGGTATCAGAGTACAGGAGCACAATGATAGGAGTGGTTTTGAAATTACTGAGGTCAGTGTGCTAGGAGTAGGAAGACTTTTGGAAACTGTTCTATCTTTGTTATAAATTTTTTTCACAGATGCCTCTGTGCTTGCTTACTTGGGAACTTCTTTTATATTTTCAATTTTCTGTCCTTGCTTTGTTTGTGTATTTATTACATCTCATTCCTATTGTTCTGAATTGCAAATAATACCTCTTCAATTTCCATTAGTTTGTGCTTTAAGCAATTTCTATAACACAATATGTGATATGGTGCAAGTAACTTACTGATGATAAGTGATTTATATGTATAATTGGGGTAGGGAGGAAAAAAATTACAACAAAAGTTTTTGAACTTCTATTGGGGCTAGAAATTGCTGTAAATCCATAACATCTTGGGAGTAAATCTTAACTAAAATTTCCTTTTCATTTTTATAAGATCTATTTCCACAGAGTATAACTATTTTAAGAGATGCAAACCATACATACAGTAACACATTCTGTATTAAAATGTGTTAAAACATTAACCTACAAAGATATGTATATGTAGATAGATAGTAACTTCCATCCAGTAGCTTAAAATTCTGTGCAGTAAGAGACACAGATTCAAGGAATGGGGAAAAAGTCATTAAAAAAGTAATATGTCCAATATGAGTAATGTACATAATATATTCAAGTAGATGCACTGTGTAAGGAGCTGTAGTTCCTTCCAAGGTTTCTAAAGTTTTCCACTCATGTTATTTCAGCTGGGAAGTTTTGAGATTCCTATTGTCTAATCTGAGAATGTGGATTGAAGATTATGGTTTTGATGGCTTCCGATTTGATGGTGTTACATCTATGCTGTATCACAATCATGGGATTGGTAAGTAATTTAATCAGTTCTGATGTAAGCAGTCCTGTTGCAGCTCTGTTGTGAAACTTGTGATACAAAAATTAACTGAATACTCAAAGACTAATCCAGATTTGCCAATATCTTTTTTTTCTGTGCTAAGAAGACAGATTTGAAATTTTGAATAACAATTTACATACTACAAAATATATTTTTAAAACGCATCTTTTTAAACTTGCTATTTTAATAGGCAAAGAATTCAGTGGGGATTACAATGAATATTTTGGCCTAGATGTGGATGAAGATGCTTTGTGTTATCTGATGCTGGCCAACCACATGATTAACTTCTTGCATCCGGAATGCATAACAATAGCAGAGGTAAAATCAGAATTTTCCATACTCAATGAAATTAGTATTGATCAGTTTGTGTTTGGATGTGATTTCCTGGTAATTATCAAGTCATCCTTCAGGGACTCAAGAAGTGACATGAGCTGACAAATATTAATTAGAGGACAGACTGCACCTTGTGAGGGGGGGAGGGGAAACAACTGGAAAACACATACTGGGAATTTTCTCTACATTAATGGGTCATTAACTAATGTGAGGATTTCTTTTTTTTTTTCTTTTCCTGTCATTTTCTTGAACTTGTAATGAGGTTTGTTTTTATTAGTTCGTTAGTCTTTCATGATTGCTATTTGTCACTAGCAATTCATGGTACTAAAGATTAACAGCCCTTGTCCTGATTTGCATATTTTGAATTATATTGGCATAATTGACAATTACCTTTCATAATAAATGTGATAAATTTACAAATACTGAATGTGTATGATAATTTATATTTAGTGTTAAATTCCTTCAGGTTTCCAAGGGAGTAAATAAGCTATATTTAAGCCATTTGAGTTCTCTTGAGAATTCATCTGTTGTTATATTTAAATAATTCTTTTTATTAAAAAAAACCAAACCCTTATGGAGCGATTGTTAATGAAACTCTTGTATTAGACAAACAAAATATAAACAAAATCATGGTACTTATGTAAGTTTACATTATAGAGTAAAAGATTAATGGAAGGCTATCAAAGCCAGATCTAGTAAGCAATTCATAATAAAAGGTCTCATCACTCTGTGAGTAAGTGAGAAGGCTTACAGGAAGTTGTAAGTTATAAGCATTCCTACCAATAAAATTTTGAGTTCAATCTGCTTTATTTCCAGGCTTAAGAACTCTTTATTATGAGTTGCCTCATCTATTTTTCTTGCTTGTGTTGAAAACTGCTTCTGTTTCAAAAAAAAAAATCAGTCTTCAGCCTTTGGGAGTCACTGTACAAAATACAAATTTGATCCATATGGATCAAGATGAAACTGTTGGCATAAATGAAAATTACAGAAGACAGTAAAGAATTTTTGTTTGTCTACAATGATGATAGAATGAATGCAATGGAAGTAAAATATGGTTTTGCATAACCATAATTAATCATAATATATATTTTAATTACTTTTCTCATAATTTTACAGATTTTTGGTATTCTGTGTATTCAGTCTCTTAGTAGCTTCTAAATGTTTAGGTATTTCTGTCTGTATGTTTGTTTTTCATTTTGTCTTTTCAATAAAACTGTGATTAAGGCTTTGTATAATCAGAAGAAAAAAAAGTTAAGAAAAAGTATATCAGACCTGAAGATTTATATAGACAGACTCGACTGCAGTGATTTCATTCTTTACATACAGCTCATGTCAAACAAGTGTGAGCAAGTGCTTAGGCTTTGACTGCTTACATTTGAAGGAAAATATGCTGAACAATCTAATATTGTCTCTATTTCTTCAGTGTTCAGGCAAACTATAGATATAGATGGGTATAAATATTAAATTTCAAATTTTACTTCCCCAAAATCTGACTTTGGAAACTGCAAATAAAGTCAATGGGAGGTATTTAAATCTCAAACTCCCACCTTGATCTGGTAGGTGCCACAGAGAAAAGTGTGTTTCAAGTCTGATGTCTTGGAGGGCATTAGTCATTTTTTTGTCCTTTGACTGATTTAGAAGACATGTTTAAGTTAGTTTTCTAGTTTTCAAACATTTGGAAAGAAATTCCACTTTACTAAACTTGGAGATTTACAACATATGGAATCTCTAGATTTATTTACTAAGACATGAAGATATCTACATGAAGAGATTGAATATTGTAGAAAATACTGTTCTAGTACAGAAATTCTTTTGACAGCCTGTCTTATTTTTAAAGTGTGCTTTCCTACTTTCGTAAACTTAATTCTTTTATTAATTTTCTTCAGTAAATTGAAAGAGTGAAGTTTTATGTGAAAATCATAAGTACATAAGTATTGAAAAATACTTCAAAAGAAAACATAAATTTATGTATGTTAGAAGGTAACTAGGATAATCTAGCCTTGCCTCTTGCTCAAAAATGGTTTCAGAATTTGAATGCTCAGAGGTTTTTTTTTAGTTGGTCTTGAAAACCTCCAAGGACGTGTCTCCCACTGCCTCTCTGGGCAGTCTGCTTATTTAACCTCCCAGTGATTTACATTTCTCCTAATATCCATTTAGAACCATCTCTGTATTGATTTAGCACCTGTGTCACTCATTCTCCTGCTGTCTAACTCACTACAAAGACTGTCTTCTAAGTAACCCCGCAGGCACCGACTGCTGTTTGGTTCCCTGCAGTCACTTCTTCCCCAGGCAGAACAAGGCCCAGTCTTCAGCCTGCCCTTGCAGGGCAAGGACTCCATCCCCATGTCCTGCTAACCTTCTGATAAACTCCCCTTGGTTTGGCAGTGGCTGTCTTTAGTGGGCAGGGAAAAAAGTGGATGCTGTTTTTTTCTGTGGTCTAATGACTGCTGAGTGAAGTGTGATAATCCCTTCCTTTGATCTGTCTTTGATTCGGTTCATTCAGCCGAAGATGCTGCCAGCCATCTCTGGTGCCAGGACAGGCTGCTGACTCCTGTTCAGCATGTTGCCAGCCCTGGGGCCTTTCCAGCAGAGCAGCTCTCTGGCTTGGCAGGCCCTTCCCTGCCCTGATGAAAGGGGTTAGTCCAAGGATGTCGAACCTTTTGGCCTGCCTGGGTTGCATTGGGTGAAGAGGAATTGTCAAGTGGCATATAAATAGATAATATACTTAATATACATAACTAATGAAACTTTTTTTATTTTTTATTTTTTTAATTAAAACATAAAAGAGCAACAAAACATAGGACTAGCATGATATTTGACCTTGTTTTGTGAAACTAATGCATCAGGGTGGTTTGATGGCAATGGTTGCAATTCTTAATGTGCTCTCAAGGTGTTTGCCAGGGATTTTTGATGAAATTTTAATTGTTTCTGTGCTTCATCCTCAAAAAGAGTTGCTCACAAATGTACATACTGCCAAAAAGCGATAACATGTAAGGCATGACTGTGAATAGGGGGAATTTTTTCTCTGGGAAAAGAAGTCTTTTTAAAGTCTGGAAGAGAGACATGATCAAAATGTTGAGTTGGGTACCTGATTGCAACTCTGTATGTTCCATTTGAAAATTTGTGGTTAACATATTTATGTTGACTGAAAATGGAGTCACGAATATGCAAAACAATTGATGATTTTTCTGTCAATCTTGAAACATACCCTCAAATTCCTTTATTGGAATGAAAAGCACAGCTGCATTTTTTTCATTGTTCACAGAACTGTGTTTAGCCAGTGGATCAAAATGCTTAAAATGCATACAATCAAAATTTGTTTACCTTAAGTAGAGTTAGCACCTCACGGCACTCACCACATGCCCTGGATTCAGCCCAGAGAGTGAAGATTGCACACTGAAGATTTGTTGTTGTGAGAGATGTGCATGTTGTCTGAATTTGGTAGATCTGCTAGGTGGGATAGAGCTGCCGCCATGGTGACTTGGGATATAGGGTGACTGCAGTGCCAGGCCACCTGTGACCCATAAGCTGTGGGTTGGACGTGTCTGGGTTATTCCATCCCATGGGCAGGATTTGATATTTGCCCTTGTTGAACTTCCCGAGGTTGCACTATGAGTATTTATGTGTAACTTCACACGCAAATACCTTTTTCATTCTGAAGGAAATTCCAAATCTTTTGATTTTATTACAGATTTTGCATTGAAATAATGTTCTAGTTTAAGATAAATTCAGTTCCATATAAACATTTGAGTAGATGCAGAAAGATGTGTGTTAATCCACAGCCACTGTGGTGGAATGACTTCTCACTTATGTAATGTAGTTCAACTGATCGTTGGTAGATATTTTGCAATTATTTTTGGATTTGCATTTTGTACTTCGATAATCTAACTTTATCGGAAAGATGCTAAGTGATATAACTGTCTAATAAAATGATGATGTAAATATTAAGAACTTTGAATTATAAAATTAAGAGTTACCAGCCTCCATGAATATAAAGCTGGAGATCTATGCAATGAGTGTTACTTTCCAGGGGTAGCTGAATCAGTTTTATGTGTTTAGGAAAATAGCAGAGACTGTATTTTTCTTCCTTGCTGTACTTAATTCAGCCTTTTACTTTTATGCCATTCTTTATGCAGAATATCAATAAACAAAATGAAGGTTTCATTTGTCTTTTGTTGATTACTTTTTACTTACTATTGATTATTTGAAGCTCAAGAGAGCTAATTATTTCAAATTCTGCCTCTACTAAATTCTCTTTCTCTTCAAATATCTATTCTGTCAAAATGCTTTATAGTGAAATATTTGAAAGGAGTCATAATGCTTCCCTGTAACTTGCATTCAAAGAGTAAGTCTGTGCTGCAATCACACACAGATTTTTCTTACTCTTTCCCCCTCTCATCCCCTTCTCCCCAGTCAATCACAAAAGCTGTTTAGAGTTTACATACCACTTGTGTACAGTGGAGTACAACTGTATAGTGGAAAAGCTGAACAAATAATTACTATGCTAGTCAAATTATGTCGTGTATCATTTAAGGATGTTTCTGGAATGCCAGCTCTTTGCCGTCCTGTTGCAGAGGGAGGAGGAGGATTTGATTATCGACTAGCCATGGCTATTCCAGATAAGTGGATAAAGGTGAGAAAATGTGTTTTAAAAATACATTCTGGTCTTCAGAGTGCTATGTTTCTCTAACTGCACATATATAGAAACACTTTTAGGAATTCTGCTGATGAATTCAACTGTCTCCCTCATCCATTAACTTAATGCCCTATTAGAATAAATTCTGACAGTCTTGAGCACAGATATTAGTGGATGAAATGAGAGCTGTCAGATATCATATCTCAGGTTTGAGAAGATGAGAAAGATTATGGGCTGTTCTTTGCATTTTAGCTGATTTCATTTCTTTATTCAATGCAACAGGCATAGACTGATTTTATTTGAAGTAACCTATAACTTGGAGCAACGGTAGAATGTATAGTCAATATTGAATGTGAACAGGTAAATAATAAGATAACCATATGCACGTATGTTAGAAAGAAACAAACAAAAACATACAGTGAACTCTTCTGAAATCAGGTGTAGCAATTGGCACTGAGCATAGATAGGGCAGAAAATTTAACCAAAGTAAACATGAGCTAATTACTCTAACACCAACAATCTGCAGCATGGGGTTAGAAAAAGAATAATAACTCTGTAAGTGCTCTTCAAGAACAATAATATGCTAATGAACACTGACTGTGATAAAGATTAAAATCACCTTTACCTTGTTACAGAGAATCACAAGAAAAAAGAATGAAACAATAAAAGAATGAACCAATCTTAAAAGGCTTTTACTAATGTTTTAGAGAATGTTTTTCAGTTAGATATAAGATTGCATCCTAATCCCTGGGGCTATCATGATAATCTGAAAACAATAAATGTTTTATATGAGCATTAATGCCCCAGTAAATGTAGTGAGTAGCTTAAAATAAAAAGTGAATTAACTTATCTTCAGAATCTTTCGTTTTTGTAACTAGGAGGTAGAGGGTAGATCTGATGAAAAACAGTTTGCCTTCTTTTCATGCAGAAGACAAACTTACCAGGTTTTCTAACAGCATCACTGAACTCTGGAGTGGGAAGAAGTGTGGATCCTGAATATGCTGTGGGCACATAATTTTGTGATAACCTGTTGTAATTATACTTTTTTTTCTTTAATTTTATTTACTTATTTATTTCCCATTATTAGTTCAATTTCCCTGCCACACCTTGACAGACAAAAATTAGTGATTTTCTGCATAGGTAAAATGCATGTGGCTGAATTTTATTTTGTACAGGAAAAGAGTCTTAAATTCTTAGAATCAAAATGTTTGGATTTTTGTATTATGGATGTAATATTGTATGATGTAATATTACAGCAATTTCTGCTGTAGTGTCTTGTTTTAGTTTACTCTTATTTTAGTTCAGGAGCATATTGATTTTACGAAAAGAGTGATGCAAAAATCTTTTAGATAAGGTAACTGCAAATAAGTAACCACAGCAGAAGACCTTGAATTATGAAAGAGGTTACGTGCCTAGTTTGTTACCACACTTCTGGGACAAAAGTAAAGCTAAAATGATTGGGAGGGTAAATATTGTAGTCTACCAGTTCCTTAATGACTTTTCTCTCTAGCTTTTAAGTATATACGTATTAATCACCTGTTTTTCTGAGCAAATTTCTAAAAGAAATTTTAGACCTGAAAGATCTCCAGGGTGCCGTAAACTTGTTCTTATGAATCTGTAAAAAGTAGCTAAGACGTGATAGCTGCCATAATGGTGACTATATTTGTTCAGATTAAGGTTACATCTAGTATGTTATATGCTGCATCAGTGCCAGAATTTATGATGGGGAGAAAAAGTTGTTGAGTTATCCTCAACAAAAGTTGTTGAGGAGTGCATAGCCAGATACAATCAGAATGTTAAATTTAACAGCGTTATATCAGTGTTCTTGATGTCACTGCTGTTTTTTTGTCTGTTTATCATATACATAGAAAGACATATAATGAATAGAAATCTTTTTGGATTATCGGAGAAAGCTCATAACTTCGAAATTTAGTTCACCATTCATTGACAATTTCTATGCCAAAATAATGAAGAAAGGTAATACTGTGCTTTTAGTTTAAAAAAAAAAAAAGAAAAAAAAAATTCTGTTTGATTTTATTTCTGTAGATAATTAAGGAGTTGAAAGACGAAGACTGGAATATGGGCAATATTGTGTATACATTAACAAACAGACGATGTGATGAGAAATATATTGCATACGCAGAGAGTCATGACCAGGTATGGTAGAAGTGCCTATTTATTTATTTATCATATATAAACACACAAAAGATGAGGCTTAATGGTTTAGTTGTTTTTTGTTATTAAAATTGAATCTTGACTTGGGAAAGATAGGAAACAGCTTCAGACATGTGCAAGTCTCATACACTGCATGTAGGCTTATTTTTGTGTTTCCTTTGTTTGTTTGTTTTGATTTGTTTATTGTTGATCCTCCCCTCCATGTGTGGGTGGTGTTACTTTTCAGTTTTGTAATTTAACAAACAAATTCTACCTTCCAGTTTTGCCTGCCTGTCAGAGGACATAAGAAAGCATATCATTTATAATTTCAAAAATTCCAGTTTCCATAAGGTAGGCTCGAGCACTGCTTATGATAAGCATAAACAACATGACAAATTAGGTTGTATTCCCGTCAGAAAAATGTTTCATCTCTTAAAAGATTGCAAGCTCCAATTCTATTTTGAGATCTAACTGGCGTGTTCTTTTAACTATTTGTTGCAAAACACAGCAGTTGTAGTGGTTCTGTATGTGGAAAAACAAAAAATAATGTCTAGATAGACAACACTCAATTCCCACTGTCTTTCTAGTTGTTATTTCTGAGGTATCAGTAAACATGATAGTTTAGACTTCTAATACTAGAAACTTCAGAACAAAGAAAATAGTTTTTTAATAAAAGGTTTAAGTAACCTTTATTCAGATCTTTCATTTACATAAGAGACTGATGTGTATTTTCTGTGTTGATGTAAGTCAACAAAAGTGCCTAAAACAAGATCTATATTATCATGTAAAATAAGAATGTATCAACTTACTTTTGTGTGTTTATTTGCCTTCCTATCGGTGAGATTGTTTCACACAATCACTTAAAGCACAAGAGTGGAGTCCGTATCCTTGCAAAAAATTGAGGTATTACTTGGAAATGCATATTTTTCTGCTTATATGCTTTTATAAAAGATGAGTCTTCATCCTGAAACATGAAGGTTGCTCTGAATGTAATACTTCCCATTCATTTCCATGAAAAATACAGCAGATACAAAGAGCACAATGACACTATCCAATAGAGCAAATTCTCAGCTCCATAACGCAATTCTTCTACATAGTCACCACCATTAGCTATGCATTTTCACTAGCAGTGAACAAGAGCCTGCATGCTAGTCTCATAAATATCTGCACCTACTGTTTCTAAGACAGCAATGTTTCTGGAATGCACCACCCGCCACATTATGTGTTCACATATCACAGAATGGACTGGGTTGGAAGAGACCTCAAGGATCATGAATCTCCAATCCCCCTGCCACATGCAGGGCCACCAAGCTCCCCATTTAATACTAGACCAGGCTGCCCCATCCAACATGGGGCATCCACAACCTCTCTGGGCAGCCTGTTCCAGCACCTCACTATTACCTCTGTGAAGAACTTGCCCTGACATCCAACCTAAATCTTCCCTCCCTCAACTTAAAACCATTTCCCCTTGTCCTGCTGTTATCCAGCCTTTCAAAAACTTGATTCCCCTCCTGCTTTTAGGCTGCAATGAGGTCACCCTACAGTCTTTTCTTCTTCTGGCTGAACAAGCCCAGCTCCCTCAGCCTGTCTTTGCAGGGGAGGTGCTCCAGTCCCCTGATCATCTTTGTGGCTCTCCTCTGGATCTTCTCCAACAGCCCTCTATCTCTCTTGCACTGGGTGCTCTAGACCTGGACACAGTATACTCTAGATGGTGCCTCACAAGAACAGAGTAGAGAGGGACAATCACCTTCCTGTCCCTGCTGCCTACCACCCCTCTTCTGATGGAGCCCAGGATACCATTTGCTTTCGAAACTGCAAGAGCTTTCTGAGCTGCAGGAGCACACTGCTGGCTTACGTTAAGTTTTTCATCACATCTGCTATTTGGTCTCCATAAACATTCAGCAAGCATCTGCAAATGTCAATGGGTCAGTGACACACCTTTGCTCCATATGCAATTCCACATCAGACACTATTTTTTTAGACTGCCCTTCTGCTGCCATCTGTTGCATTACAACAGAAGGTAGTGGGATGTTTGAGGGAAGATTCAGGCTCTACTGTCATACCATCAACAGTGGCCTCTGACATTGTGGGACAGAGTAATAGAATAGGAAGCACTACTTTTGATGGAGCTCCCATGTAGCATTACAGTTTTATTTCATAGTGTATTTTATTAATTTCTTCATGACAGTGTATTTTTATTTTGGAATCTTATTCTTTAGGTTAAGATCTGTATGTATATTTCAAATTTGAACATAAAAATAGCTTTGTGGATTGCAGATGAATGCCAGGATGATATGCAAAGAGGTGAAAAGTAGGACAGAGAAGCAAAAGAGGGTGATAGATAAAATGTGATGTAATGATATGCAATGAAGCACATGAGGATCTGAAATGATTCCAATTTCTTACATGTGATAATGGTTTATGAGCAGACTGTAAGCAGAGTATAGGGCCCCATGATTATAATACACATATGAAAATATCAATTCAATGCTAATAGCAGGCAGAAAGCATATATTTTTCTTGAAATTATTATGAAAGTGTTATGAAAGACAGCAAAAAGCAAAATCAGTATGTCACTATAGCCTTTCATAGTTTACTTGCATCTTGAATGCTGTAGGCAGGTGTAGTCCTGTATCTCAGGACAACCAGCATAACTGGAAGAGAAGTTGACAGAGTTAAGAATAATCAGATGTATGGAATGGCTTTCATAAGAAGAAAACTAAATAGACCAAGACTCTTCAGAATAGATCATTAAAATTGGAAGAGCGTCAGTTTACAAAGCCATGTCTGACATAGAAAATGTGAATAGTTGCTTCCATTTCTAGGAGAAAGATTAAGGGACGTTAAATTAAATGAAGAAATGCCAGATTCTGCATAAAGAGAAGAGTTGTTTCTCCTGTATTTCTTCAGTGTGAAGTAAATTCTGTCATGTTATGCTGTGTTTGTATACCGCGTTTATATAATTTCAAAAGAGTTTGAATTTGTTTCACAGAAGATTCCTGAAAAACTTCTGAATACCAACATTATGCTTCAACATCTGTCTGTTTGTGATAGCGTTTTTGGGAAGTATTGCTAAAAGTTTGGCTCCCTTCATGCTCTGTTCTTCCACATCTGCTGTTGGCTTAGCACACTATCTCCAAAAGCAGCCAGATAGATTGCTGACTATTATACTACAGTTACACTTATTGTATCTGTGTGAATACACAAGTCAAGTAACTCATTTGTTGAATTAGAAGAATATTCATTAAAGACTAAAAGGTTAGAGCCAAATGGAAGGCATATTAATACAAGTCTGCTTACAAGACATTTTAGCATTGCAGTCTTTCCATTCCAAGATAGGAACTGTTTGGTTTTTTTTCCTCCCTAATGAAATAAGAGTACTTTGTGGAAAATATCTATTTATGTCATTATATTGCCAGTCTGAAAACTAAAGGATGAACGGGTTTTCCACCTTCACCTGTTTACAACTCAGCTGTCTCTGGGAACATAGTAAGTTTTCATAATAGAGTATAAAATGAGAATTAAGCTGATAGAACAAAAATTACAGATTTACATACAAACAATTCCAAACATTTCCAACTTCCTGTATGCTAATATTTTAGAATAATTCTTGTAACTAAAAAGATTTGCTTGGCTTTTCTTAAGTACTGTAAACACTAGCAAGTTAGTAATTCAGTTAGTGTTTTTAGGTAGAAATACTACTTTATATTGCTCCCTTGTGTAAAATCAGAAAACAAATCATATTCTTGATAGCATATAAATGAATGCTTCACAATCTTTCTGCATCTTTAAATCAGGTATATTAATAGCCATTTATTTGCGCATCCCAGGAACTTTACTTGAGGTGTTCGCTTTCTCATTTTGTTTATCCTATAAAAATTCCAAAATGATAGGCTACTTGTGGCTTATTGAGTAGAAACTAACATTTTACATTTTATATACATAAGCAAAAAGGTATTCAGAATTAACTGTGCAGTTCAATACCATCACTGAAAACATAATACTATAGCTGGAGTTAGGTGGCTTGGAGCTGATTTATTATATACACACAAGCACAGAGTTGCATAAGTGAAGTGTGCAGCTGGATCAGAGATCTGGGGAGGGCTCAGCTCAGGGGTGTCCCTGCCTCAACTTAGACTTTTCTTTTTGAAAGCAGATTGTATAATCATATGGGTGTGGTATATATCAAACAATATAATTGCTGCAGTAATTAGAAATTGGGCTCACTGTGACCTTATGGTCGTAAGTAGAGGCAAGTTGTTTGCTTTATGAGCTAGGACTAGGTCTCATTCAGCAAACCTCATTCTTGACTCCTCACAGATTTTTCAAGTTCTCCCCTTACAAAATAGAAAAACCCGAAAAGCAAAAAAACATTAGCAACTCTTCTAGTACTCCTAGGGGTTTTCTTTTTTTTTTTTTTTTTATAGGCACTTGTTGGTGATAAGACATTGGCATTTCGATTGATGGATGCAGAGATGTACACAAACATGAGTGTGTTCACACCTCTAACTCCAGTTATTGATCGTGGAATCCAGCTTCATAAAATGATTCGCCTCATTACTCACACACTCGGAGGAGATGGCTATCTGAACTTCATGGGTAAGTAACCTTAGGAGCATGTCTTTCATTTTCTCATCTACAGAAGTCTTGACAGAGAAATAAAAATATATGATACCATCTTACAACTATACTTTTTTTTTTTTTTATAAAGATGTAGCACAAATGGTAACAGATTTTTTCTGTCTTTAAGATGTATTGTAAAACAAGAAAATAAAATCAGCAGGGTCCATATTTGTAAAAGAAATAAGTTTTTTAAAGTTTCAGGTTGCTCATATTTATAGTTCAAGTGAGTATGTTAATTGCAGTTCTGCAGGTCTGTGTAAGTCTTACCTTACAAAACCAGATTGTCTTTTGTTTCCTCTCTCGAGATTTTTAGAGTAGTATTGAAATAACTGAGGATAGCTCTTATTTCAGTCATTCACTATCAAATAATTAGTGCAAGAAAGTAATCAGGAATCAGTTGTTTTATATTTCATTGCTTCCAAGTTAGGAGCAGGAGTTCATTGAGATGTAGGCAAGGATGGATCAGAGACAGGATGCACATCCTGCTGTGGAAGCAGGGAAATAGTGAGAGCTAGCAGTATTTTTTTCTTCATAATCTCTAAAATACAACTGTTGCATTGCTTCCTAAACTATTGCTACAAGACCATCTCATAGTTCTCATTAGATCAGCCAGTTAAAGATCCATGTGGTCTTAAAAAATTAATGTTATTAGTTTTACATGCAATGCTGAAACAATTTATGCTTGATAACCTCTTCCTTAATTTATTTGCAAAATAACTATTACGTTATCTATAGTAGAAAAGAAAAATAAAATTACAATTCTGTAACGTGGTATATCAAGTTTTATGTGGCAGTTCTGTTAATCACATGAAAGGCAAAAAATGTTGAAAGCAGTCATCTTGAATGATTTTCAGACAATGAAATACTTGAAAATTATACAAACTTCAGCTTAATATTGCCTTCAGTTTTTGTTGTTAAATGTTTACTATTATGTTTGAGAACTGGGTGTACTTTGTTCTCTTTTCTTAATAGTATGTTTTACTTATACATAAATACATATTAATATGATTCTAATTAAAAAGAAGAAACCTTAAAAAGAGAATGCTGGCATTTAAGTATGCCTGTACTGTTCTGCTCCTCATCAATAAAAGAGCACTTGAAAATTTAGGTGCCATGGTTGTGGGTTTGGGAATTTTATTTTTATTTTATTTTTTGAGAACTAAAGTAACTTTAATACAATGCATAAAAAACTTCATTATGTGTTACATTAATAAAAATATCACTTTCAATAAAATGCAGAATTTTTTCCATAGAGGGAAGAAAAATTAGTAAAAAATGTGAGTTTTGTAGACAGGCCACAAGATGTATACGGTATGATGTGTGCTGTTCCATTCAAACTAGTGATACTGTATAGTAGTTGAGGAAGCAGGTGTTTAGAAAATACGTCTACTAAACTGCAGATGTCTCTGGCTCAGATTGACTTCATAAGGTTAGACAAAAAATAAGTAATTCAGTGTGGCATGTTAAATTCAGTATGTCAGTGCAGGTTGATTGAACAATTAATACTGTGTATCCTTCAGTTCTGGAAACATTTCAGTAAATAAATTATAATGCTATATGTAAAAAGTGAAAAAATTGAATAGATGAGAAATGTATAAACTTAGCATACTTAAAATGCACATTGTGACATGCTATTTAATTAAGCAAACATAATAACAAGCGAGTTCTCTAACTTTCTATTTTGAGAAAAAGCTAAGAGTTAGGAAGAGAAGACTCAAGTGAGGTGGAAGAAGACAAGGAATCTTTTCAGAACTGGAGAAGGCACTCTGGTTGCCTCTGTGCATCCTCAAGTTTATTTAAAAAAATATATCTTATTTTCCTGAAAACAAAGATATCAAAGCAACATGCTCCCTTCTCAATGCTTTGCTTACCTTAAAGAAAAAGAAACACCTTATAAAAGTATTTTTAGCAGAACTATACATGGGTTTAGAAACCTGCTCTAAATATATGCTTCTCTTTGAAGATCTGGAATAGTATTTGATTACATCTGTATTGAAATATCATTTGCATTCTGTATGTGCAAGCAGATACTTATGGGGAAAGTTTCGCCCAAACACTGATGGTGACTTTCTCCTGACACTAATACTATCTAGTTCTGTCCTTATTACAGTAGGAAACACTGCAAAAATCCAGGAAGTTTTTATCCTTGTTTCTTTTTTTTCTTCTTCATGTTTTCAGGCTGTTTCATTTTTACTGATATATATATATATAGGGATGCAGTGGCATATGGAAACTTAAATACAAATATAAACAAAATATAAACATTGTCATGTCAGCAAATTACTTTCCTAGTAATATAAACCATTGGGAATATTCTTTCCTTCTGTCAGTCTGGTTTTCTTTCTTTCTTTTTTTTTTTTTTTTTAAATGCAGCTTCGCAAGTAGTCTCTGTGGTTTCTATTGTCCATCTGGAATGGAAACTTAACCTAGAAAGGAAAACTTAATATGCTTGGCTGAATATGAGCATAACAGTGATTAACATTCTGCTTTAGGGGATGAACACACTCAGGAAGGACAGTTTGCTTAATAATTATTATCATCATCATAAAGTAGTACTTGTTTTGATACCTGTGCTTTCATAGCAGGTAGGGAACAGCAATTCTACTGTTGCTATAATTGTAATTTGTTGCCCAAGTGCTCTTCTTAGATGGAGATTTTAATACTGAGAAGGGCCCATTGCTGTTCAGAAAACATTATAGGATTTTAGGTACTGCACAAAAGAACTCGAGACTTCTGTGATTTCCTAAGTAGTGCCACAGCATTCTCTCCTCCATGGAGAAGCATCCATGACAATGCTGACGTATACAGATCATACACATGTGGTTGTCTGACCTTTAATGAGACTTGAAGGAAAAGTCCAAAGCATTCACAGTGTGTGCCTATATTATGCAGTAGAAGTAATTTTTCTGTTGGCAATGTTGGTAACACATCTATTCAAACACAAATATATATGTTTGTAAATGTAATGATATTGAACTAAAACAAGCATATAATATTAATGTAATTCAAAGCAGAAGAAAAGTGATATTTACTTTTCATAGTGTGAAGATTCAAAACCAAAATAAATACCTTACAAACAACTAGAAATTCAACCAAAAAGTCTTCTGATTTGATTCTAATTGCTAAATTGCAAAACAAGAATAAATAGAAATCATTGTAAAACTTCTAGAATATTACTGGAATAGTCTCATCAGACCTTGTGAATTCAGGAAACACTGTTGACGTACACTGGATATTTAAATAATGGTTCTCATATTTCATGAGAATAAAAGTTGGAATTATCACTACAAAACTACTGTGTCTGTACATGTCTTCACTTGTATTTGACTTTATTTTCTGTTCTTGAAGAAAAGCAATAGACAACTGTAGTAGTTCCCTCCAAGTAGGGAAAACTGCAGGGCACAGAAGAGCTGTAGCAGTTCTTCTGTGAGTTTGTATTACAGTTGGAAAGATTAGCACAGTAGAATAGCAAGAGACAAACAGGAAAAGAACACCCGCCTGTATCCAAAGATCTAGACTCAAGGGTAAAACTTCACAACAGAGGAATCTCCAGAAAGAGGTCCTTACCCAGTGGCAGTCAGCCCTTAAGTGGGATCTAAGAGGGGTGCAGCCAGGCTTCACCCCTTCTGGTCACAGAGCTGAACTGCCTTCACCTGTGCTCCCAGGGCTAACCCAGTCCTTTCCCTAAGTGATCAATCAGTGATTCAGGCTGTGACTCAACAGTTCCCAGGTAGCTTGTTTCCCTGAATCTCTCTAGTACTATTTTGCATGGATTTTTATAGTAAAACAGCTCTTAATTTGGGCTCTGGGGTCTGTCTCTTCCTGCAGGACAACTTTTTTTTTTTTTTTTTTTTTTTTTTTTTTTTTTTTTTTTTTTTTTTTGTAATGTGAAAGCAGGGAAATAAATGATTTTCAGTAACTACAGAATTCTTTGCAGTCATGATCATTGAGTGATGCTATTGTTATTTGAGTTGACATTTATCTCTGTTTCACTAGTATCATCAAATCAATCTGTTAAGTTTTCTCTTTTTCCCACTTGTTAGTTCATTAAGATAGCAGTTTATCTACTTTCTCTATGCTGAAGTTTTTCTAATGTACTAAATAGTTTCTTCTCTAATATTTGATGTAATGAAACCTTGTTTTCTCCTGGGCCTTTAAAAAAAATGCTGTGCATCAACTCTTCCTTCAAATGAGTGTTTTGTAGAAAGAAACATAGATTTTTGTAAACTAAGGCATTTCATAGTAAAAAGCATTTATTAGGCAAAAATATGTTAACAAACAGGGAATGGTGCAAAAGCATCAGTAGCACTAATATGTTGGAAAGTATGCATACGATTTGCTTGAAGATTATTAATTTCAAGTTTGAAATAATAAGGATGAATGGGAATGTTGTTGTTTAAAGCAAAATCTATAGTCTCCTGAGTTGCTGATTTGTTGTTTTTGTGAACTACTTTGGATAAAAAAGAAATTTTATCCAAAATAAGGATATTCATTTCAAACCAAAAGTGTGGGTTTTTTGTTTATTTAGTTTTGGTTTTGTTTTTCTTAGGGATGTTGCAAACAAACCACTAGTAATTTTGTTGTGCTTATTACTGCTGTGCACTGTGTTCCTTGTGACTTTTTTGATTGTGACCTAAAACATGGCCTTTTGCAAGAGCAGATTCTCCTTGAACTAGCTCACTTTTGTAAACTCTTTTAGATGAACAGTCTGGAAATTGTCAGGTGGTAAAAACACTGGGGATTAGGATATGTATTTTAAAGTCATTCTTCTTAATATATCCTAGTATTGCTGGCAAATGTGCTTTCTGTGTTGCCAGTTCTGCTAGACGTTTTAATATCCTGGCATCTGGTCAGTAACAATTAGAATCACTGAATCATTTAGATTGGAAAAGATCATTAAGATCATCAGGTAAGGTGCAAAATAAGAAGGATGTAATTATATATGTATTTTTTTAGTAGTAATGGACCAGTTACAA